AGTTGGCTATTGTATTTATGATGGTTATTTGTTTCCATACCACTAACAGACTAGGTATAGTAGGACAGAACGACCTTATCCACTCTCTCTCCATCAGATAAACTATTTTACTCAGACAAAAAAAAAATGATCACGGCTGCAAAGCCAGATTTAATTTAAATCTTATACATAACAATCTCTTAGTATCTTTTCTTGGATAATACTAAAATATTTTTCAGTGAGAGCATCGCTCACATGCTAGGGGAAATAGAACTTCGCGTTTGACACAAAACATGACCTAATATCCCTCAGAATTGCAGTACTACTTGTACTATTGTCCAGCTGGGCCAGATTTCGAAAACAAAAGATCGGGCACAAAAGATACTGCTCAACTGCATTCAAAGCTGCACTGCTTATACCTCACAAACCACTCAAGAGTGCATTTCAAAACACTCGAAGGTCCCGTCTCCAAGGATAGGGGTTTCTCTCAAAACAGACTGACAACTAGTGGCAACTTGTTGGGACATTTAATTACAAGAGGTGACAAAATGTGAACAAATCCACTTCTTTTCAGTTTTACCTCCAACATTAACTATTGATGTTTAAAAAGGCACTAGGAGTTAATCAGTAAACTATAATGTGTGGTTATATCTTGTAGATGCAGTATATCACTTAATTGTTTACTCTAGCTTGTTGAAAAATGTATAAAAGCTGTTGCTATTATTATTATTATTATTATTATTATTATTATTATTATTAGAAGCGGCAGACATAAAATTAAAATTACCGCTACATAGGAAGTATAATTTTGTGCACCGTGGTAAAGAACTATTTACCATTATAATACAATAACTATTTTACAGATAATACAGTTGAAAAAGTCGACTCAAACTTAAAGCAACGTTTGACCAGACATCTTCAGACAGGTTTGAGTCAGCTACACTCCACTTTGTACACAGGTAACTTCATGCCTTGGAGGAATAACAGAACTTTCTCTGGATGCAGCAGGTTGTCTGTACTTATTGAAAAGGTCTGAAATAATTGTACTGAACACTGGCTGGACCAAAAAATAAGACAGAGTGCACAGTGGAGTCTGGAACAGCAATGGAAAATATAACTATGAAAATGCCCATTATTATGCGATTCTTTAAATATGATAAACAAACAATAATTGGTCATACCTCACTACAAATGTCTCTGCTACTGATCACATAAAAAAACACATTCTGTTTAATTGCAATCCTAATTAATGTACACGCCATGCCTGATTATATGCACATATTAAATACATTTCTGTTGCTTTCCTCTTCACATACTTGTTCCAGATGAATGCATATTGTTAATTTGTGCAGAAAATGATTTGAAAAAAAATGAAACCAATAAGAAGATTACCTCTATGTTAAAATGTTGTACTGAAACCAAATAATGCATTTAAGAAGGTAAATTAAAAAAAACATTATCATAAATAAGTCAAGCCTTTGGTCTGAAATATCTGCTTGAGATTTAAAGCTTTAGATTGCATGTTAAAAAAACTAATTAAATTTAATTCTAACAAATTGTTCATACATACTTTCTGATATATTCCATGTAAAGCTGACTGTGGAAGATTCATTTGGTGGTTTTGACAACACTGACAGTGTATACTGTACTGAATATACAAGTAAGAACTCTGTCAATCTGTCACAAACTGGAACACTTCAGATTTTATTCAATAAGAAAATAAACAGTCATACATGACACATTTATAATCAAGGTGATTAGGAGCCAAGAAAAAAATATACTATTCTTTTACATTTCACCCTGATGTCATGTAAAGGATGAAAATACAGCCTGCAAAAAACCACAGGAAATTGTTTCTACTTACAAAAAGGTCCGTATTAAGGTACGTAACACATTAAAATGACCTGGGATAACGCAATGCCATAAACACGGTAAAAGTTCAATTCCTATGTATTTGTCTGACAAAAGTAAACGGAGACCTAAGATATTTCACGCTATGAATCCTAATCATCACTCACACAGGACAACTTATTCACCTCAAAACAACCTCAACAATATTGGTGATTAAATTTGCTGCTCAGGCTTTCCCCACCCTGTCACCGTCGGGCTCAGACAGCCATGTGTGGAAGCCCCGAAAAGCCCACTGGCCGACTTGCCCGGGAACGGCCTTCATCAGCACCTGTTGGTGGTTATTGATTAACATGTAGCAACAATGGGAGCGCCTGCGTTGCTGGCAGGCATCAACTACATCCTGACAAACCACTGATGGGCTGAACAAGCTATTAATGACAGGTTACTCTTCAACACTCTAAGTGGCCATACTCTGTCACTTGACCACAAAGATGAAGGTCACCCCTCTGACGTGCTACACTGCAGTACAAACTACCTCAGGCAACAAACTGGGGCCATTGAAGCCAAAATAAACCCCCAGCTGGCTCCATTGTTTGTGAAGGTTTCCAGACAACTTGCTCCCAGCAGACTGTATGCTGCTGAAGGACTCAGGGTTACTCAGTGCTCTTCTGAGGCACATAAACACCTCAGTAGGTGAACACGCATACAGCGTCTCCCATTATGTGGTCCAAACTAATGATCTTCTCAGTAGTGCAGCTATGTTTAATTTCCATTTACTGCCATTCAAATGGAGTGCTTGCTACATAAGCTTCTAAAAAGCAAACAGCATCTCCCCTCAGAGAGCAGCACCACAGTCTCTACGCTGTTTAGTTTGAACTGGTAACAGGGATCCCTGTCAACAACAGCAATGTTTATGTAGGCCACTTTAGTCAAACTGGGTTTCATTTTTTATAGACCACTTGGACTGACCACAGCACAAACTGGTTTATTGATTATCACTGTTAATTTTTTTCTGGCCTCCTTCTTAATAATTTAGGTTGTCTTTCATTTAAGTGGAAACACTTCAACCACTGAAAACCATTGTGAGGAGCACAATACTTGTTTTTCCTTTTAAAAAAGAAAAAAAAAACCCTAATATCTTTTGGCACCTCAGATGTAGAAAATGTAAAAAAAAAACTCACTGCAATTGAACAGGTCACTGAAATCCATGTCTGCAAAGGATACTTCTATCTACAAATTAGCTTTGGTGTTCATCTCTACTTATTAGAAGCATAAGGGCCTCCATAATTGTAAAAAGTGCCTGCTGTTGGGGGAACCACAAGTCAGTATTTTCATCTGAATCACCACCTGGCTCCTTGCCTGAAGCATTTTCAGTCATAAATACAATTACACATGCGACACACGCTGCCCTCTTGCATGAGAAAACATAAGATTAGGTCTTCTTGTTAATTGCTTTATCGAAACTATGATATAAACTGACCCTTTGGCACTTGTTAAGACCCACAGAAATAATTAAGCAATTACCCCCCCCCCCACCTCCACCCCATCCTCTTACCAAACTCACTTCACCAAACTGAACGTTTCTCAAATTGTGAAGCATAATAATGAACATAGCAGCATCACTAACTACAGTGATGTCTACAGCTTGTACTTTATGACATTCAAACACCGCAAAATGTATTTTACTTCATACTGAGGGGAGTGACAACCACACCTCAAAAGAAATTAATGTCATTTGCTTAAGTTCTCTAAGCGGTGTTTTATTATGCAGGGCACTGACAATGAGAAAGTATGAGAGATGACTTTACATCGTGAGCAGTGAGACCCGGGGGTGACCCCTCTAAATAATTAATCGATTAAAAAGGCATTCGAAATTTTTCTCAAACAAAACCCTCAACTTTGTTACATGCCACGGTGACCTATATTAAAGAATGTAAAAACGGAAATATCCAACATTAAATTTTTACCTCGAACCGTCCTGGTGGAGTTCCCATGCTTTGAATTGACAGGCTTCACTGGTCTTTGAGAAGTCTTGAAAGATGGCCTTCGTTACCTATTGCTCTGCATTACCACAGTAGTGGGTTACATAAATGTTGGTATTTCTCAAAGTCACAATCTGGCAGCCATGGAGTTTTAACTCAGCTAAACTTTTCACATTGCATCTTTAACCAAACATTAACTTTTTGGTACCTGAAGCCAAAACTGAGTTTTGTAATAGTTCAGGTGGGGAGCCGCGTCAGCATGCGTAGGCTGCAAAGGAACAAGTAATAGGTTTATTCCATGCTGAAAAAAAGAAGAAAGAGAACACAACGTTT